TTCGTTTTATATTTATATCTTGTCGTTACAGAATACTTGTTAGTTTTTCTGCAGCAGTTATTTGGTCTCCCTGTATATTGTTAGAGTGGAACTCTAGTCACGAAAAACCGTGTTAGAAATCGATCGAGGACCGATAATGTGAGCACTTAACAAGAGAGGCAAGGGCTAAGTAAAATAAACAAATTCCTCAAACGAGACAAGGAACCATACATTCACCATTCAACACTCGGCATTCGACGGCAGACGCCCTTATTAACTAGATATCTTAAGGGCTATATAAACCTTTTATATTTCAATTTAAAAGCTTGTATTTAATGTAATATTCGGTGATAATTAGTGTGTTTCTAACAAAATATATATATTTCTGGTCGCACTTCGTCACGTCATTAATAAGCTTACTGCAACTGCAAGAATTTAAACTTTTAGAGTTAAATTAAATATAATCTCTAAATGTGTAACGGTTCATTTAACAGGGAAGAAAAACTACGGACGTAATATTGACGGTCCGTGACGTGTATCATTTAATTAGCGAAGCGACCCTAACCTCTGGTTATGTCGCCTTCGTCAGTATCGGTGTTTTTTTGTGGATTATTTTACTATTTACTATTTTATTAACAATGGCTGAACAGTAACCGCACAATTATTAGAATTTTTTATGGCAACATATCCACCATTCCTACGAATTTAGCGATCTATTTCTATTATGAAGTAATAATTCTCTATTTAGTAGTTTAATTCTATTAACAGTGACAGTTAGAACGCGCTTACATCAATGAGACGTCTTAAAATATATCCAATATTAAAGACACAACGGTGGGACACGATGGTAGCGACAGGCAGTCAGAAACTATGCGGAATTCGGTATTGCTGGGCTGCCAGACGTGTCTGGTTTTCCCAACTTAATGTTTCTCCAAGCATTCCGGCGTCCAGTACGCTGTAAAAATCCTTTGCGGCGAGTCGTATTAATAGAAATGCATTTTAGAATGGCAACACTTCGTCGGTCACCGCAAAAATATGCCGAGGAATTAGGAAAATCCAACATTAATTAGAGACGAAATCCATACAATGAGTTATTAACGTGTTAGATCTAAGATATAATAAAAAAAAACTATAACCAGAAATAATTTTATGTAAGTTCGATTATGGGTTTTTTGAATAACCTGGTGGTCCAATTGGTAATTCCAAACTACCGGTTCAAAATGGTGTATAATAAATACATTACATCAGTGGCGGCGTATGTTCAGTCTAACTTTGCATCAGTAATGTAAAAAATAAAAAATAAAAATTTAAAGACTAAATATTAATGAATAAAATGCTTACAATAATTATGGGTTCTCCTTTAAATTTAAATTAAACAATCGCCCAATGAAATAAATATAAAATAATGCTAAAGTCCTATTATGAAATAAATTTCATAGAATTTATGTATAGGATTTTTTTGTTTAAAACAAAATTTTAAATACAATGTTCGTACAACCGTAGTGGTTTTATGGAGGGCGTTTTTATGCGCAATTTTCAGTGAATTTATAGCAGTCTTTTGAGAAGGGTTTTACAAAATCTAAGCAAGTTAGAAACAATATCTCTTCACTGCACCAGTTATATAAGTTTTATCCAGGGTATACGAAAGTTTACAAGCTGATAATACATTCAGAGTCATTACATTTACTGAACTTTACACACCTGTTGAAAATACAGAAAATCGCGTACGGTACTATAAACATAATAATTACACAGAATGCTTTTATGAAACTATTAAGGTGGCCATATTCCTGGCAGAGAAATAGTCAAATTTCTGGCGTTTTTAGGTACTGAAATCTTGAAAAGTAAAACGTGTAGAACAAAAGTAAGCACAAAAATAAAATCCTTGATGTTCTGTTTATTCATTGTTACTATTTAAATTTACTCAAATAAAATAATAATTAAAAAAAAGCGTTTATAATATATGCGTTTGTTGTTATCCTAACCCCACATTTTAAGAATTATTTTCACGTACTTATAAATAAACGTAAACAATTTTATATGCAGGACTAAGCAAGTAAATGTTTGTCTTTGTGGAAAACACTTATTAAAGAATACCTACGGCGCCCTTAACACATGAATTAATCATAATTATTACTTACATTCCGATGTTTATATGGTTACCCATGTTTTCCATGATCTATCACTACTAAAATTAAAGGAATCCTTGTAGTTCAACATTTTTATAATTTAGATGGACTTTCTTGTTCTATCATTGTCTACTACTAAAAGTGCTATTTCTTGTCTATAAAACGCCAGCCTTAAAGCTATAACGGTCCGTACCTACCCTGGTTTTTCGAGTTGTCATGCCATGTACACAGCAAGTTGCAAACTTATATGACACTTATGATTTAGAAAACACCCTGTACATTTAATATTAATTACTTTATTATTAAATCTTAGCTGAGCGCTTTCGACTACATAGTCATCATCGGAGCTATTCGTTAAATTTTAGATACCAAAAAATATTTAGGAAACGTTGAAAATCTTAATAAGTTCGACATAACAATATACAACATTAAATATAACATCAATTACTGGTAAATAACAAGAGAAAGAAACAGAAATTGACTAACAATGTCGAACACGTGGAGTGAAATAAAGTGAGGTTAAATGTTAAATGTTTTTAATCACTCTGTGTAATATCGGCAACACTGCATGGTAGTTGTATACGCAACAGTGCAGCTAGCGGTTCTCAACAAGTTTTCTATTTATTATTCTTTTCAACTTTACTTTCATATTTCCAATTTTCTCGCAAAAAGACTTAAATACATGTGGGTCATTTCCATGTCAAATAATCAAATCACATTTTTGATACCATCTTGGATCTTGATGAAATTTGGTATTAGTGTTGAATAAAAATTCAAACCGAATTTTCACTAGAAGTATAGAGGATGCGCTAGAATCTCCTGAAAAATAGTCACATGTGCTATACAACCGCGCGCGCGTGTGTATTGCCAACTTTCAAGTGCAACTGTTGTGGAACGGTAGCTGCTACCATTCTCAAAAACAGCAGCAAAGGACAATGTTTTGTGTTCTGTATAGAGGTCGCAGTGCCAAGCTTTAAAAAGTTTTAGTTTTATTGCTGTTATTCCACAAAGTTACTCAAATCAATGCCATGTCAATTTGAAGCAAATCTTGAAAAAAGAACTTCTAAAAACTATATTTTGGTGAACTAACTAAATCCATTACTGATTTTAAGCTGCAAAAATTATGTCTTTTTAAGTTTAACTTACATATGCTTTGCGATTTAGGCACTTTTTATGACTGATATTTACAATACGAATATTGAAGGGTCATGACAAATTCACTCTAAAATCCAGTTTGGTAATTTCAGTGTGACTGAAAATCATCGTCCTGGAGATTATTTATGTGTATATAATTGTATGTCATGACACGTAATCAAATAAGTGCAAATTTTCAAAGTAATTTTTTTTATCTTGAAGGACGTGTCTTTAAAATGTAACAAGATGACTAAAACAAAAAAAGTTTGCTCTATCCTATTGCAATAAAACGAATTTGATTGGAGGAAAATATTATGTGCTATTTGGGTTTGAGAAATCACAATAATTGACGCATAAAATGTAAACCTCATGTTCAATAGCACATATCTTGAAAACAAAGTGAACTCAATAGCTGATACTTTGGTAGTTCAAAATCAGTAATGGGTTTTATTACCTCACCAAAACAAATTTTTAGTCTTGTTTCAAAGTTATAAGCATAAGATAAAACTAAAACTTTTTAAACCTTGGCACTTCAATCATCATGCATTGCACAAAAAGTTGCGCTTGGTTGCCATTTTTGAGGAACATTAGCACTTGAAACTTGACACCGGCTTTATGCTGGAGACCTTGAGCTATACTACTTATGATGGTGAAATTTTACACAACGTCTCAGATGCATGCCTGCGCCTATGCCAAATTTCAGTAAGATTGGAGATGCTGAGTAAACAATTATCTTGTTAATTTGATCACCTGACATGGAATGACCCATGTAACGTGTAGCGCTGTCTAGACTAGAGTATATGTACGCATTTAAGGTTCCCCCTGTATTATTCGCTTTTTATTACGATGTTAAAATTTGGATTTAGAATGTTGCATAATTTAGTATGAAATCGACCATAAACTAGTTACAATTTTTTAAACAGCTCATTATAGCTAGATTTAGGCTGCCGTATCAAACTAAAGGAGTAAGGTCTAAATAATTTTCTAAACATATGATTTGGCAAAATATTCATAAAAATATGGAATTTTGAAAAATTACAGACTGGACTCGTTTATCGACAGTTAAAAATGTACAAATTTAAAATTCACCTTATGCACAGTAACCCACTTTAATTTACATCGTCTAATCCAATCCTAAACGACTTAAGCAATTTTGAGCTTATTTTATTCAGAATTTGTTAATAACTAATAACTTTTTGAACAAGAATATTCAAATGATTTATGTTTTCATTTACTTCAGAAATTATTTACCGAAGAATAATATTGATATGTTTCTGTAATATACATACATATATGATTCCTTCCGACAACCAACCGGTAACATTATAATATGCCTTTGTAGTTGTATTTGTACTCCAATGTCAGTGATTTAAGAATAATCTGATAGGCATGTTATTATATAAAATTTGAAAGTTCAAGTGAGATAACTAGGTACTTAAAAATAGAAAGATTTGTTGGTATCGATATGGTATTTTCTGTGATGAATCATTCATTCAAATAATTCCTTCTTAAAACTATTGATATTAATGAATATTCAAAAACATCTACGATTCCTACTCTAAGCAGTTTTAGTAAATAAAAAAAATGGAACGTTTATCACGGATTTTTCGATATCGGACAAAACGAGGTGTCTGGTGTCTACTTCCTTTTAATTCGTGGTGTGTTATTGAATATATTAGTTTTTAAATGAATGTGTTTGAATGAGTCAAGATAATTTTAGCAGTGTGTTCAAACAAGTGCGGTAAAAAACTACCTTACCTAGATAATTCCATTGATCCAAGTCACAGGGCTGATACATGTGACCTTGATAGCTGAGAGCGAGAGCATCTCTTTCTTGTTGTTGTACCGGGTCAGCAATAGCTTTAATACTCTTAACGTCTCCGGCTCGAGCAGCGATATGCAGAGGAGAATCGCCTTGTAGATCCCTCGGACAGGGTCTGGCTCCGGCTACCACAAGCCACCGAGCTATCCTCCATTGAGCTGTTTCAACGGCAAGATGTAACGGCGTTTGCGCATCATCGTTCGGTGTATCCAAAAGTCTGGGATGAGGGGCTGCCCTTATTAATGCCAAAGCAACCTCTACAAACCCTTCTACTATCGCAGTGTGGAGATGCCTGAAGAAATAAAATTAGTTAAATCACTGAACTGATAGCAGCACAGAAATTCTGCCACTCAAAATCCTTGAATCAATATCACTGAATATCTTGGAAATTGAATAAGTGCATTTATTTCCTAATAATTGTATTTCTAAGAAAAATTATCTCTTCCAGTTTATTTGTGAAATAATAATAATGGTATTATAATAGGTATTGCAGGTATTATAATGCTACTACGACCAAAGAAAGATGGTTGTTTATTAGATTATTTTACCGATTTAAGAAAAAAATCATATAATTGAAGGAGTAATTTGATGTAATATATACAAGTAATAAGTAATTACTCATATAGTAATACTGAGTATTACTTTGAGTAATATTTGAGTAAATAATTATGCAAATAAGTATTTTAGTGGTCAGCGGTTTTCCCCTTGATAATTTTATTAAAATTACTTTTACACACAAGTGCATCTTGAACCATTTCTATACATCTTGGTTACTATGATGGAAACTTGAATATTGCATTTTACTAATCATTTTTTGAATCTTGAAGTCAGCTAATACCATTTTCTTCACCGTCATAATTATTTGAACTTAAATTTAATTTTTTCATTGATGTACAAGAGGGAATATTGACTATAATTATATGGTGTTTATGGTAAAAACCAGAACTGCCTTTCAGATACATAAGTACTGTTTGTTAGTCGAAAAAAAAAATACATATATGGGTAATTGCTCGGTAACAAAAGTCAAACCCCTCAACTTTTTATTTTTAAGTTTAGAAAAAAATGTTAGGTAAAAAAGTAGTGCTATTAAGTAGAAGTTTTTTTTAATGATATTGAACTTTGTAGGTATAGTGTTCTCAAAAACCAAATTCCAACAGAATACCCTACATATTTTTGAAATCTGCGTTTTTTTGATTTCTCTCATTTCACCAATATATATCCTGTATATTTAGTATAGTTTTCGAAATGTAGAAGTACACATCGTGTTTTCTCTTCCTTTTCAGCATGAAAAAAAAGTGAGAAATTTTATTAATGTTTGTGAATTAATGTTCAAAGTGGCTTTAAGTTTGTTGTATTGTTGTATGCATAACTTGTAATTGCGTTTCAATTTATTTATTGCTTTTACTATTATTTCGTGGTTTTCATTTATTAATTCTGTGTCCTTGGTTATTTTATTACGAATATCTTGAAGGTTCAGTAGTTCCATTTCATAAAGTTTGTTTTTAAGGTAATCCTGCAAAAAAGGGGACTTAAATGAAGACTATTTGCAGGCCATTATAATTAAATCTGCCCAACCAAAAATTAAAAATAGTAAGTATTCAGTAAATTTCTTGTTATGTGTAAGTGGATTGAACAAAGGATCTTTAAATTTAATTGAACTGGTAAAAAATGTTGCTACTCGGAATATCGTTATACCCAGTATTGTTTTTTTTTTCGACGACCCATTGACGCGATGCGACACTCGATGTTCGTACTTCAAATGGGATTTAAAAAAATAGAAACGACTACTTATGCATTATCCACTTCAAGATTGAGAAGGTGGTAAAACTGACAAAAATAAAATTGATTCGTTGTGTGTAATTTTGCAAATTTTTGCAAATATTTGTAACTGTTTAGAATGTCTAGAACTGCTTGTATATGCATGTAATCTTGTACGTAATTGCTTGTAATTGTTCGCGATTGACTGCAATTGCTTACAGTTTTGAGTTGTTGAGTTGCAATTTTGCCATTTATAATTTTTATAATTGTACATTTTTTTGGAATTGTAATTTTGGTGTAGGTACACAACTTTCTTCAGTGATCAACTCCTCCGAGTTATGTTAGATTTATCTGCGTAATAAGTTTATTTAAAATAAAAAATAATAAAAATTTAAAATTCCTTGTTTTTTAAATAAAGTAACTTATTTTCCTAGAGATGACATTAGAAATATAGGTATGCACTTATTTTATTTCCGATTCAGCCTCTAATTTATCATCATCAAAGTAGGTAGGTAATTCTGATATTTTTTTTTAAATTTAACTCTCTGTATCTCAAAAAGCCAGTGGCATTAGACCCTTGACTTAATAGCTTGCTTTTGGTTTAAACTCTGCCTCTTCTGTATATCTTTTTGCGACTTTTTTGTGATGAAAAATACTTATATTTATTATATATTGTTATGTGATTTAAATATAGGCTCCGTTTCATTCATGGCACTTTTATCACGAGACAATTCGAGGAATAATGAAATAAAGTAAAAAGCAGAAATCTTAACCTTCAGTTGCAGGCAATAATAAAAAAAACAATCGAGTGTTCGGTGTAAAATATTTATATAACGCTGATGGTTCTAATTACATAATTGGCGGGCCATTTATAAATTCAAGAAATATAAAATTTTAAAATTAGTGAAGTTACTTTTGGACAGGACAATAGCCCTGTAAAATTCCCATGAATAACAGTAGAAAATAAATATTTGTGTGGTATGTATTCTTTAAGATATAACAAAGTTTGAACTTATAATCTTATTTGTTTATTTTAAATATATTTGGAAAATTATAATAATTGCAACAATTCTTAAAAATATTGTATAAAGATAAACAAATTTTCCAATTTAGGTATATTAATTATAATATATTTCTAATAAGCGATTTAGTCAAGTATTGATAAAATTACCTAACTATTGTTTAATTATTAATGATGTATCACAAAAAATGCGATCCGATTGATATTTACAATGTAGTTACGGGCTAGTGATTGGATACTTTGCCTAAGTGTTCATTAATACGTATTACAGGAACCGCATGCAGGGGACGAATTGGAAAAAACCAATCAATATATTGTGTTAATTTAAATATAATCGCATTCTAAGAAATTTGAGCGTGCATTGTTTCAAACAGTATCATTTCGGCGAGTTGACAGCATCAGGAATTCAGCGATCTATACTTCTCCACAATTGGTCCGATATCTATGGATTCAAAATATCGCATCGTACAAATCGTACACATCCGACGAATTGGAAAAATTAATTATTATTTTGTTTGTATGTAGGATCAACCGATTTCATTTGATCCCTGAGATGTGTAAACGTGAGCGAGCTCAAAAGTTAAAGTCGAGGTTAAAGTTGTAAATATTGGAATCAAACGTACAATCGGAAAAGAAAGCGAGGAAGGGTAAAATCGTGGGTTTGACGTTTGACCATTGAAGAAATATCGCAAGCGGCCTCGCATCAGTCGCGGCGAAGCATTTGCAGAGTCACCACTGGAGATGCATGAAGAACGTCGAAATTGTTTGAAATCATTGCATGCGACTACTTAGTTGCAAAATCCACTATAGAACGACTCAAGAGTGAGAGTAGAATTAATAAATATCGAAATTAACTTCAGGGCGGGCTTAGGGGTTCTAATAGTGGGTCCGTCTCCACAGTACCTAGCCCGATAATATAAGTTAAACAGGTACCTACTTAGAATTTTTATTAAATTTAAAAAATATTTTTATTTTTACTGTCATTTTCTGTTAAAAAATGTACAATTTTCGCAGTCCTTTAATTATAGCTAAAACGTATTTAAGTATAAGATAGGTAAACCATTAAAAAAATACCTGAATTCCAATTAAAAATTTACTATTGCTAAATATTTTAAACATTTGGATGTTGTATCTCGAAACCCATTTACGTTTGTGTATCTTCAATGTTTAAGCCTTGTTATTAAATCAATATCATATGAATAAAAAATAACAAGTTAGGTAGGTATTGTTGTCGAATTAACAATTGGGAAATCCACAATCTCGAGGTTGATTTATCGTGAAACTCCGTCGACAAACGAATATGAGCTGCAGATGATCTGTATAGCACAATAGGTATGTACATATGCTACTTCTAGTTTGGTGTACTTAACAGGCGTTATCATTAAACAAAAAATAATTACTGAAAAATTTTACAAGAAAAAATATGAATTTAAATAAAACAACTTATAGAATCGATAGAAATAAGTATGTACTTGCTTTAATTTCCTTTTACTTATGAAGGACGTAATATTTAAATCTACTTAAATAAGGAAATCCATGAAATATACGGAACGCAGCAATATTCATTACATTTCTTTTAATGTCTCATACAAAGTATCTCATTTATGTAATAGCAAATGTTACTTTTTATACTATTTATGTGTATATATTTTATTAACTTAGGTACCTAATTATGAAATTCACTGCACTGGATGCAAAATGAGCATTAGTGTACAAAATTTAGACCAGTGCTTTGCCCGTGGGGCAAGATCTTCAAATTATTTATTTATTTATAAATTTCATTTGTGTTTAATCATCAAATTAATGTTTAACCACCGGGTTTAATACTATTAAATAGATCTGAATAATTCGCATAATAAAAACTGTCTTCTTATAACGGAAACATGTTTTCATAGTACTAAACAAATTAAAAAGTTGGTAACTATTTGTTAAAATAAACAAATTTAAATTAAATATTAGGTACATATCTTACCTAATGCAATGTGCAAGAAAGACTAGTATAATACATAACTAGAATATATATTTAGGTTTTACCTTAATTGAAATTGTAGTGACAAAATCTGTAATATATGGGTAGGTAGGTATGTACCTATACATTAATTAATGCAAATAATGTTGAAAGGTATCTAATTAAATTTAGTGATCGCAATAATTGCGATAATTGAAGAAAGATAGCATAAATTTACATAAATAATTCCAGTAATATGTGTAATGATTTTATGCATATAGGGCGATAACCGGAGAAATCCTTGTAGGAGCTATGACGTCATTGACTTTTTATTTTAAATGGAAAGATGTTTCTTACTATATCTTTCTATTAATAAGTTTATGTAGTAAATACCTCTAACATTTGCATGGTAACTGAAGAACCTACTTATTTATACTTTATTATAATAATATAAAATATATTAGCAGTAAATTTAGGATACGCCATTGGTACGGCAGCTGGTATAGTGCTAAGCTTAAACTTGTTACGTCGGTGTTTGATATCAATATCAAACACATATAACCTATGAACCCAAACAGACGTATATATTTAAATAATCGTACTAAATAATACTCACGTATCTCCATCATCGTCTTGTTCGTAATATATCTTCCAAGGGATGTCATCAGAAACTTTTACAACAGGTACTTGTTTTTGTAAATCGGATTTAATATACGATTCAACAGGTGTTTGTTTAATTTTTGGACAATTTAAATCATTAAAACCCTGTTTAATATTTAGATTAGAAAAACTTTCAGAGAGACAGACTCCACTATCGAGCCGCATGTAATCTGTATCTTTTTCTTTTTCTTCTACAACTCCCAAAGTAAGTGGTCTGCTACTCGTATTTTCAGGAATCCCTGATACGGATTGTATTTCTTCTGATACAATTTCACCAGACACTAATAAATTTCCACTTGAAATAAAACCACTGTCTGTCCTGGAAGACTCGTATAATCCACAATTGTCGTCATCGGTTACTTTTCCAGGCGCATCTGGAAAATTAGAATTTTGCTTTTGTGACATTTTAAATTATGAAAGCGGTAACACAAAATGGCTACAAAAACTTTCTAATCAATATCAGTTTCCACACTAGTTTTAAACACACTGTTATGGCAAACAACAATTCGCACGGAAATAGTTTATTTGGTAGATCATTCGTATTTCGAAAATCGGAATAATTCGACACACTACAACAAAACTGAGAAATAATCGAGAACTGATGTGGGACTTTTGGCTTTTGGCAATCTAGCACGCGTTGAGGAAACCGCTCAGATCGGGATTCCCGAGACATGCGCACCAATGTTACGACCAGTGACGTACTGCGAAATCATATAAATGTTTCATATAGGTATAGCGAAAACGGAAAATATTTAAACTGCAATCTTTTCAATATGCAAGTTCGTTTTTATTCAAATCTTTAACTACCGTGTTATTAAATCATACAGGGAGTATCTAAGCTGTTTATTCAAACTTTAATTATGGATTCGTGGATTCATCACAAATTAACCAATGAAATTCCAATAAACACGCGTAAGGAAGGTCGTTTACGAGATATATGGGGTGCTAGTTTAAGAAAAAAAGAAATACAATGAATAAAGCGACTTCTTTCAAATTTGATACCTATATGTGACATGACACGTCATAGGTTGTAACAAAAATAAGGTTACAAACTTCACCAGCAGATAGAACACTTAATATTAGTAGGGGTAGGTACCTATTTCATATAAAATTTTTACCTAAACTGTTTCCTTGGTGAGATACAGGGTGTTGAAGTTAAAAAAATAAATAACATTTCTTTAATATCTTTCGACTATTTCGAGCTAATTTCGTGAAATGTTGTATCCGGGATATTTGGGATGAGAAAATCGAATTTATCGACAATTTCGTTGTATCTCGATGGCGCCACAAGCGACCATTAGGATGCATTTAAACTGCCAAAATTTTTTTGTGCCACCGTATATTTTACTTTGGGCTGGAAAAATCTTTTCCCCCAACTTTTCTGCTTAAAAAAGATATATCTCCAAAGCCAACCTTTTCAACAAAAAGGCATTAAAATATGTTAATGCAAAAAAAAATTGTTTAGAAGTTATTTTCAACACTGATAAATGAAATTCTATCTGCTGGCGAAGTTTGGAATTTTGTAACCAAGGATCCACAAAACCTACAACAGAGGTAAGTAATACTTACTACGGATAGCAAACGTAAACGTAATATGAATGAATTGTGAAACTGGCTTGGCGCGGATGTACAGCTATTCCTACTGATCTTTCTATACCGTGGTTACAATAAACATGTGCTCGAATTCACTTTATTTTCGAATACAGGTTGTTCAGAATTAATAAATGGATTTGTCGGAATCTGTGTGAATAATAACTCAATCTTCTTAATAGATAATAATAACTATTTTTATATAAAAAATAATTTGATGTCTTGTCACTTTTAGCAATTACATAAATACAATATCAAATTGTATCATTTATTTCGTAAACTGTGCAACATATAATTATTAGAAAAAATTTTGGAAAGCCTTTAGAATAAAATTGAGAACGAAAATGACTAAGTCCACCTCTTGAACTGCGCTCTTAAATGTAATAAACAGTGTTATATTGATGAAAAATTTTAAGGGGTGATTTTTCCGTTACAAATTAAAAACCCTTCCCCTCTTTATTCGTTTTCTTCACTATGGAAAAAATAAAAAGAATAAAATTAGGCAGACAACTTGAATTAATAAAATGATAGTTTGTGATAGTATTTTAACCCAGATATTTAAAAATTTGATATACAAAAAAGGCTTCAATGTTATATTACTCAATATTTGATATCGTACCATATTCGACGACTGCAAGTTCTTTTACTTAGAGACTTTTTCATCTTGCATTTCAAAAAAATCCATTACAAATTTCCATAATAATCACTGAAGATAATTCACATGGAATTTTTTTAAGCCACTTTTCAACTACAGTTTTAAAGTTTTAAATGTATAGGTTCGTAACATTGATGAGTATTTGATTGGCCTATATTTTCTATCCATTAAAATAAATACAGACACAAACTGCCATCTTCTTTTAGAAGAATTGCCTCTACTTCTTGAAGATGTCCCTCTTCAAATTTATTAGGAATTATGGTTGATGCACGATGGTGGTCCAGTCAATTTTAATATTATTGCACTTTATGAAGGGAACGTAGAATGATAACATCAAAAAAATTAACTCGAAAAAAGTGACGCTAAGTTGGCAAATAAGTGGCAAAATTACGTGCTTTTTCATTTTTTTTACTGCCCTTAAAAATCTAGACCTATCGGAAAATTAGTTATTTTTCGTTGTAGGCAATTAAATTACCTACAATTTAAGGTACCTATAGTTATATTTTACCAATTTGTTAACTGTGAAATTTGCAACAACCGTTCAAGAGGGTCCCCAAGAGTCATTTCCCGCCAGGATACTAGAAATCCAAACCCGCAAGGTGCAGTTCCCGCCGCAAAATAATGACAATTCACCATTCAACGATGTTTCCAAATATACCATTTATACGCCGAGAACCCATCGCGCAAGACCCAGTTTCCACCAAGTAGCATGTAGTCATAGACGAGCTACAACAGACGACCTACTATGGCGCTCCAAGGACGTGGAGCGGGAAATCATAATTTCACCGATCTTTCCATTGTTTTCCCGCCGACACCCCGTAAACGTTGCGATTGCCGCCAGAATCGCCCAAGACACATGCATATAATCGAGAGCTGCGCCCCTCCGACTGCGCAGAGCCAACAGTAAATCTAGTAGTGTTGGGAATAATCGAATTATTTTCACAATCGAATAAGTAGTAATAATTCATATTTCAAAATCGAATTAATAATTCGAATTATTTAGTAGAATTATAAATTTAAATTATACCTATAAATTCGTGACTGATTGGAGAAATTGATGCCTAAAAAAAAGGTCTTTACAAAATTGAAAGAGTTTAGAGAAGAAAGAGAAGTTTACGAAGAAATTGAGCATTGAGCAATCAGACAAATCCATGTCTAAAAAAAAGGAGATCTGACAAGCCTGCGTGAGATGTCGGAGTACTAATACTAAATAATACTACTAATTTTTATCACGATATATCGAAAAAGTTAATCGAATTAGTTGCTTTTAATTTACTATCGAATTATACGAATTATTTAATTCGAATTTTCCCAACACTAAAATCTAGCACCAGCTAGACGATGCAAACACGCATGCGATACAAAACTGTATTCCTCGGATCAAGGGGGAAGAAGACAACAATTTCACGCATCTTCCAAAATTTATCCACCAAGCCACCTAGATGAGACGATTACCGTCAAGACATCCTTGTTCCCTGTAACGACGACAACGCATGCCCGATCTGTCCTCGAGACCGCCGACGGGCGCAAGGAGAGCTGAAATATACGCCACCCTTTCCAAAGAATGGCGAAAATAAAAATACCACACAATCTTCCAACTCGCACCTCTTCAGCTCGTAAACCTTTAAGAGACTCCCGTGATTGTCGAAGATCCAACAGAACCACTTCTCCAAATTTTCTGGATCTAGACCGGACCACGCATCAGGCCGCCCGGCGGATTCCATGCAACGTACGAATGTCAGTCCAGGAACAAAGACGTTTATTAACCAGCGTATGGATACCTGGCGAAAGTGTGTGCGTTATATTGTATATATTGTATAAACAACTACCGCATTGCATACATTGTATTGCAAATTAAATAACCCAATAAAGGTCACTTTTTAAAAACCATATCCTTATTTATTCTTTCAAAAACACCAAACCGAGCACAACGCTCACATATTCAGCTCTTACATACACTGCCATTCATACACAGCTTTCAAAGAGAGCAAATAGATTTTGATATTTAGACATTAGGATAGCAGAAGCAGACCCGACAGTACTCAAGACATAGTGTAACCATACACAGAAACATTTTATATCATACAAACTTTTCCTTTTAGGAAAATGCGAGTTTAGCTAAATCACTACTGACCTTTATTATGTTACCTATGTGAAATGCCTATAAAATGAGGTAGGTTAATTATAATCGAGATAATTATTTTATAATTGATATGAATATATTTAATAAACTTAATAAACATAAAACTATACGAGTATTAGGGGCAGGTAAGTTTCTACATTAATGCTTTTACTATCGGTTGGATTATCTCCAGAATGTAATAGCTTAATAATAAACAAAAAGTACAAGGACAAACTTATCTAACGTTGATAGTAGTCAGAAAAGTTAAAAAGTAAAAATTTAATGTCTCGGTACGCATATCTTGAACACTTTTAAATATATTTAATTCAAACTTGGAAAAGAGAATTAGAGCAAAATATTAATTTTTAGAGAAAAGGTCGCTAATATAATATTTTTAAAAGTTAACAATTTTTTTAATTTTAGAAACAAACGGCTATGACTAAATCCAAATTCAATTATAAATAACCGAGTTATAACGGTGACCCATGAAAAACGAAACACAGGGTATACACGGGAGTTGTTGCATATTATGTTCTTTTCAATAAATATTATAAAGGGTTGTTTTATAAAAACATATAAGGTTTTGTGGACTGTATTTTGTATGGGAAAATGCGATTTCTTCAATTTACAATAACGAGTTTTTATTATTTAATGAATGGGGTTTACAGAAAAATAACTTTTTTACAGAAAAATCACTTTTTTATATTACTAATGACAAGATACACATACGAAGTCTGAAAACAAACAACTCAATCCTTTTTTTACGTTTCCAACGTTCTTTATATTATTTTATTTCTATGTACACTCGGTTCCAATTCTCAACAAGGGTGATCCACAGTTCTTCTTTTATTGCAATTTATTCCTTTGTTGTTAATATTAAGATATTTAAATATGACAAAATATAGACGTGTGTGGAAAAACAATTAAACTTCCATTTAAAAATACAGGGCCGAAAAAATGACTTTAAGAAATCATCTCATATTTTTTGCCACAAAATGATATATGAATACATTAGAAATAATTGATGATAGTCTTTCATTTGTTCAACTCCCATCAATTAGCCCAGAAATTAATTTCCCGGTATCTACTTTTTTTTATTAATATCTATCGTATATTTTAGTTGCGTTGGATTATTTATCCAAGTATGCATAGTTATATAATAAACAAATGAAAATCAATCATTACCTATAAGATAGAACTATAGGCATTACATTTTTATTCTAAAAATGATATATTAAATACACCTTACTATAGTGTGTTAACA